AATATAATATGTAGTTAATTAATATTAAATTATATAGATAGGTATTGAATTTAATTTTAATTTTAATGCTTAATACCTAAAATTGGATTATTTAGAAACATCTTAACAAAATATATTACTATTTTATACTCTTACTACTAGAACTAGAGCTTTTTCTGTGTTAAATAATAAAATAAAAATAACATTGTGGCAATATATTTGATGGAAAATGTTAAAATGTTAAATGACTAAATGAGTAGATGCCCATAATTAAAATTTTAGGTACAAATAAAATACTTTTTTATTTATTTATCTGAATAAAATAAATGTACTAAATTTTTATCCAGATTTAACTCAATACTGCTAATATAAAATTGTATATAAATAAAGATACATAAGTATTAACATTGATTATAAATACTATAGATTGCTCACTGACCGGTTTTTCGGTGGCGTGAAAAAAAAATTCCGATAGAGAGCGGTATGAATTTATTAATAACAAAATCGTATTTTATTTTGGCCGTTGTGCCGCAATTATGGCAAGGTACGGCCGCATGGCGTGGGGTAATTTTATTTTATATTGTCAGTTGCCACACGTCGGATGGTCGATTGCATCGTACATCAGTTTAAAAATAACAATAATAATAAAGCGGATCCGAAAAATTTGTCCAGAACGAATTTAATAAAATTATTTTAGTCGTATTTATTTTTTCTAGTTTGTATTTCTTCTTATTATATTATTTCTATGTGCTAGTATCTACTATAATTACCAAGATATTTAACATACCGGCACTCTGCAGTAATACAAACATAAAATACATAATTATACGAGTTACAAATAAAAATAATAATATTGAATATTAAAATAATAATTACATATAGTATTTTATATTTAACAACTTACGTAAATAAAATGAAAAATTCTTGTACAATTTATTTTTTAAATTATTTATTTTGTAAAACTCTTAACTTTGCTGCATTATGAAAGTGCTTCCCTGTATTCACTTCATTTTCCCATTTGCACTGCTTGAAAATTTTGGTTCGCAATAGTAGTTCAATAATATAGTTATTATGTTCTATACACAATGATGGAGTAGAACTGAATAAATTTAGCGATGTTTTAATTATTTCTTTGTTTACTTCAGTTTTAGTACTTGTAGTTCACTTTTAATTTTATTGAAATATTTATCAAATACGTATAAACATAATTTAGTGGTTTTTATCACTAAATCTGATGGCGCTTTAAGTCCTTTTGTGGGTCCTAGGAAATCGTATGTCTTAAAATAAATTAAAATTTGGTCTTCATCATTTAAGTTTAAATTAGATTTTGTTAAATTAGTGTGACAAATTGCACATGAATATTTTTCCAAACATTTGTTGACCAAATATCCAGCAAAATATTTAATTGAGCAAGACTCTAGTGTTGGAGTTTTTTTAATAACTGAAGTTATTGAAACAATTGAAGATGGTGAATTAGAACTAGAATTTGAATCAGTTTCTCGAACTTCTGTCTGTATACTGGAGTTTGTTTCTTCTGGTATTTCTGTTTCCTTTAATACGTCAGCAGTTATATACTTCTCACTATCCGGTTCACAGTTATTATATATTGTAGAATATTTCATTAGACTATATGAACAAATATGGCTAAAACAACAACGAAAAGTTCTAGCAGTTGGATTTCTGTTATACCTAGAAATATTTATAACAAAATTTTTGTAAATACATTGATTTTTAATGAAAAACTAATTTTTAAAATACATTTAGGTATAGCTTGATAGTACCATAAATTATATCGGAATATATTTTTGTTAGTTTTTCATTATAAAAATAAAAAACATGTTTTACAATAATAACTGTAAAACTAAAGTTGTTGCAAGTATACCTAATAATTATTGCTTATACATAATTGATAATTATGCAAATATAATTTATAAAAAAAACTGATACCTATCACTAATTACATAATTTGTATACATACCCATTTTTTGTCGTATTATCGAAAATAAATTCTCCAGAGGATCTTGCGTTAGCTTATTGGTCATTAAAAAATAATCATCTTCTGTATAACAATGTTTTTTATCTATTTTTTCATTTTCGTATAGTTGGAAAATCGCAGATACAGTCCAAATTACCCCAGTGAAACAAGGAGGCACACTAGATTTGTTTGTTTTGTGACATATTTTGACCGCATTCTGAAATAATTTTTTAGCCGTATTTAAATTTTCCAATACTTGTGGGTTATGACTACTAATTGGTCTCCGGTTTGGATTGAGATCATATAGATTTTTACTATTCCCCGAGTCGAACATGTTATTGACTTTATCAATAAATTCAGCTGTATCAATGGCCGAATGTGATTTGAGTTCTTCTGTTGTTAAACATGTTTTTATTGACGCCGAAACTGAGTGACTTAAAAGCTGAATAGCCAATTTGCAAGACATTTTTTGAAATGGATTTGGAGCCAAATGTGTTGATGTGATTTTAGGCATTGCACGTGATTTGTTCTTAATATCAATTTCATATGTTTTTATTATGTCTTTCATAGATGCAAGTTTGGTATTATCAAATTTGAAATCACCGTTCAGTAAATTGTTTCATACACTTTTTATAAGGTGAGGTAAATCATAAATCAAAAATATTTTTTGTCCAGATATTATTGTGTGTGGATTTTCTTCGGTCCCTTTAAGAAGTGTGTACATTCGACGATTTTGAGTACCTTGATCACAAACTATGCAAGTGGCCATCAAACCCAAATCAATAATTTTTTGTACGCACTCTTTTATAATAAGAACCAGATTATCGCCTTTAATACCACTTCCCGTAAAAAAATAACAAAGAGGAAACTTCCAATTTGCATAAAGACCACGTAGCATAACGACCAAAGCATGAGAACAAATATTGTCACTTCGGCCTAAAGTTCCTATATCTTCAAATCCTTCAATAACATCTAAAGTTTTGTTGTATTCTATGCATTTCATGATTGATATCTCGTCAAGAAGGATAACACATTTTTTTTCTGAATAATTGAATTCGGAAACCTTTAATTTAATTTGCTCCATGTACTCGACGGAAAATCCAGTGGAATATTTAATAGAATTTAGCCAATGACGAACAGTACTTTCTCCAGGTAATATAATGCCGTTTCGGCGCATGTATTTATATGTTGAAGGTGATTTATAATAAATAGATAGAGCAACTTTTTTTTCCCTAGGTGTCCATGGTTTACGTGTTTTGTGTAGTATTTGCATTGTTGTTAGAGCCTTTGAGTTCACTGATGGAAATTTAGTCATCTCAAAAATTTTTTTTGATTCAATTTTTTTAGTTTGTTGCTTTTTTTTGAATCCTTGAGACTTTGAATAATATAACGTTTTTGTTTTAATAATCTTCTCATTTTGATTCAATTTTTTCTTAACTTATTATTTTGAACAATCAAATTATCCGGGTTGCTTGTATTATTACGGGTTTTTTTTATTGGCACAGTATTAACATTTGGAAGACTAATTAAATTTGACACCCAATTTTTCGTAGTAGGAGAATATTCTTAACGGGTGTATTACTATCTGTTGTGGTATTTTTATATGTATGTTGCGGTGTCAATACTTTTAGTACCGGAGAAGATGAAACAAATGAGCAGTTTGGACCTACATTAAAAAAATAACGTAGAACAATTTTACAATTTTAGATAATTACACGACTGCATAGGAGATACAAGCATATACAACGGTCACTAACGAAAAAAACAAAAAAAATTAAAACGAATACAAATTACGGATGTGGTGGATCAATATTTTGACTTAGTTTGTACTATTTAATATTTATAAATATTTTAATTTTTATGCTTTTTGGATTTTGAGTGAAACGAGAAAGGTATATTGGTTTTACCATGGTATGTTTTTTTGTTCAATTTTAATTTATTTTTCGAGTCTGCAGTGTACCTACACGTATTTACTATTTCATATTTGACCAGAAATATGGCTAAAATTAACTAATTATTAATTGATAAATAATACAAGATACAATAATACAACCTAAATAAAAAAGCATAGTATTCATCCTCATTTTAGGTAATTTCAAATACCTATAAATACTATAAAAATTTTCGAAATATTTTAAAATTCACAACATACTTATAAAATGGTCATATTATAAGTGTTCTATACAAATTTTAACACCATCGTATTATTATTTTTTGAGTTATAATGAAATAGCTAACATCGTAAAATCGAAATCGCGGAAACTTTTGGTTTTGTGAAAATAAAAAATTCAAACGCTTGTAAAATTTTCAATTCATTATCCGGTAATTTTTTTTTTTTAGTTCGTTTAGTTTCGTAAAAAGAGCAACTTCTCAAGAATATGGTGCTTAATTTCCTAATAATAATATAATACTCTTAGTATAATATAATGTTAAATAATATTATAAAATTACTTAGAGTATGAATTTGTTCGTAGTTAGATTGATTTATCCGAGGTTTTTTTTTTTGGCGTGGTATTTATTGTATCCAGTGGCGGCTCGTGGCTTGGACGACGGGACGATCGCACCTCCTACTAAAATTAGTAAAAATAAGAAAATTTATTGTATAATCTTAATTCTGATTTTTAAAAAATATTTTTATTTAAACTGGAATTTTTAAATATAATATTATTATAGTTATAACTTATAAAGGTATAATACATTTGTCGTGTGCGAACATTACATTATTTTGTTTTTCTCTGACACCAGAAGCTTATCGCATAATATGGATACGCATCGTATTTGGACGACCTGTAGTGTCGTCGTCCGTCGTGGCGTATGGTTCGTATGTATAAGCGAGGCGCGGAATGATGTGCGTGCGGTTACGTTTATTGTACGATGTTATTATACGGGTTTGGACGACCGATAGCGTCGTCCATACAGTAATATATTACTATATATATATTGGGTAATTTATTTTTAAAATTAACAGCGCTGCTGTCGGTTGCTTATCGTTATTAATTATTATTACTTTAATTTCTATTTTGTATTGTGACCTGCACCTAGTAGCATGTATATTGTTGTCGTACACTGCAAATACGTAATGTAAGTACCTATACAATTGATCGTTTTGAATTTTAATTAGTTCAACATGTCGAATTCTGTTCATAATTTAAAAAAATATTAAATTTTCTTTACTATCGTTCGAACAAAAATTAACCATAAAAAATAATGGCAGGCCTTTACCAGAGTTAAAAGATTTAAAGACAAAATATAAAAAAGGAAAAAGTGAATATTTTCGAAATTTTAATCCAGCATTATATATCAAAAATGAATGGTTATGTGGATGTGAAATAAAACAAGCTCTTTTCTGTTTTCCTTGTTTACTTTTTGGTGGTGAAACAGCTTGGACTAAAATAGGAGTTACTGATTTGCAATATCTAAATGCGAAAATTGTTAAGCATGAAAATTCATTCAAACATATTCACAATGCGACAAACTTGAATTTGTTAGGCAAAGTTGATATAAGACATCAAATTGATATTGGTTATAAAATAGGTAGCCAACGCCATAACGAGTTAGTAGATAAAAATCGCTATGTTCTAGATAAAATTCTAAATTGTATTAAATGCTGTGGTAAACACGAATTACCACTACGAGGTCATGATGAAAAAACATCTTCAAAAAATCAGGGCGTTTTTCGTGGAATTCTCGACCTTTGTACTGATTTAGATTCTAGTTTGCGTGATCATTTTGAAAAATCTACTGTTTTTAAAGGAACTTCCAAAACAATTCAAAATGATTATTGGATTCTATTCTGTCAGTATGTCGAAATAAAATAGTAAATGAAATTGAACAGTCAGAATTTATTTCCATAATTGTTGATGAAACTACTGATATTTCAAATATCTTTCAGTTGGTTCTTATTATTAGATATGAAGTACAAGGTCGACCTGTTGAGCGGTTTTGGGGTTTTGAGAATCCAAATGGACATAATGCCGAAGCATTATCACAAACTATTTTTGGTTTAATTGATCCACTTCTGGAAAAATCGCCTAATAAATTGATTGCTCAGTCATACGACGGTGCAGCGGTTATGAGTGGCCAAAAAGGTGGTGTTAATGTGAAGATAAAAGAAAAGTATCCATTCGCCTTTCTTATTCACTGTTATGCTCACCAATTGAATCTAATAATGATACAATCAATTTCAAAAAATAAGCAAGTTCGTGTATTTTTTTCTAATTTATCTAAACTACCAGTGTTTTTTTCTCATTCGCCACAGAGGGTATCAGTGTTAGATGAAGTAGTCGGTGTTCGTTTGCCAAGAGCAGTACAGACTCGATGGAACTTTAATATAAGAACCGTTAATACTGTTTTTGAACACAGGGAAGACTTGATTATTTGTATGGATAAAATAATTGAAACATCTTTAGTATCTTTACAAGCTAAAACAATTAATCAAGCCACTGGTATTAAAAGGCTCCTAGAAGATACTGATTTTATTTTTTGGCTGAATATTTTTCATAAAATTATGCCACATGTTGACTGTATAGTTCTGTCCAAGCTAGAAAAACAGACCCTGTTCAAGCAAATAACTCGGTAAATTTATTTATAAATGAAATAAATAAAATACGTGATAATATGTCATCAATTTGTTCAACCGTTTTAAACCAATCAGACATAATACATTCAAATAAAAGAAAAACTAGCGAAGACCCAAATATTACAAAAAGAATTATTGCTTTAGAAGTATGTGATATTTTAATAACTCAAGCAAAAAGTCGTTTTAGTTTTAACAAACATCTAACTACAGCGTTGCTCTTTCAAAATGAGTACTACCCAAAATTTAATAACAAATTTCCAATTGATCATTTACAAAAAACTATAAATTGCTATCCTTTCTTTACAAAAGAACGTTTAAGAACTGAACTTGAGGTTATTTATAGCCGTGATGATTTTTGCTTGCTAAAAGGAATTATTTCTACAATTAACTATATAATATCAAATAATATGAACGATTTATTTAAGGAAGTACTTAAATTACTTAAACTATTAGTCGTCATTCCGATGACATTGTCGGAAGCTGAACGCGGATTTTCGACGTTAAAAAGAATTAAAACTTGTTTGCGAAGTACCATGGGAGAAGACAGACTTAACGCTTTATCTATTCTTAGTATTGAAAGTGAAATGATTTCAGAAGATATGGAATTCAATAAAAAGGTCATCGAACATTTTTCATCAACAAAAAACAGGCGGATGGATTTTATTCATAAAATAACTCCATAAAATAATTATTTTCAAATTATGTACTAAATCATATAATGTTATAATAATAATATAATAATAATATACTATGATAATTATATGAATAAAATATTAAGCTTTAAAATAATAATAAAATAATAATATGTGTATTGTGTTTCATTTTATTATATTTAATTTGACAATTTGTTAAACCTATGATTAGTACAGTGGCGTAACCAGAACTTTTAATGCCCGTGGCAAAATAATCCAATCGGGCCCTTAGTTTTATAAATTTGGAAGAACGAGATATGAGGAATATCCTTCAAAAACTAACCACCTATACAATTCT